TTTAATATTCTTCTTCTTCAAAACAGTCATTGCGTGCACACAAAGTATCTCGTCATGTTGAAATCTACCACATGAACAAGTTTTTCTCTCAAGACAAACAATGTATCTTGTCGCACCTTCATACACTACAAATATATATACATCAAACAGATTTTCAATTTGTATACTTAACAATATAATGAGAAGTAAAGGTAGAAACATAATACTTGTAATACAAATATGTACCTTTATTTTCGCACACTTGGACACGTTTATAATCAATATTTCTTTAAATGTTCTCTCTAATGTATCCTCTGTATAAGATGCTATTTCTCAATTTTTGCAATTCCAATTACCAAATAGAATTCTAGCTTCTTCCAGAAAGTCTATAATAGGTAATTGTCATCACTTTTGTATCACTCGTACCTAACATTACTTTCCCATATACCTGAATGTCTTAACAAGATCGAAATATTCATTACAAATCTTCACGAAAAATGCATTGAATTTTTTTAGAATCAACCTAAGAGTTTTTCATAAAACATCAATGGAGATTTAAGTACAATAGTATTTTATGAATGAATGATTTGAAGATGAAAGAAACATATGCGTGAATTGTGGCAGTTGATTTGTATTTCTGTTTTAAATTATTTTTTAATGCATTAAATTGATAAAAATCCCTTTTTTAACTCACTGACTTGATAATTATAACTTCTACATTAAAGTATCTGTCCGCTTAATAAAGTCTCCGCAACACAAAAAGAAGGGAATTTTGTAATTTATAAAAGAGTAGGGATATAAAGTAATTTGTTTACTATACTATGTGCTTTCTATAATTTTTACTTTTTTTTTATACTACTCAATATCCTTCACAACCTCCTGATATAAATTGAAGACGATGTGTCACGGATAGCAAGGCAAAACACTAAGAGGGTGTTTGAATTGGTTTAGAAGTTGGTAAAATCTACTTTTAAGTAAATTTTTTATTTCTAAAAGTGTTTGTCAAATAAAAAAAATTAAAATACTCACTATGTCCCAATTAATTGTCATGATTTTCATTTTTAGAATCAAATTATAAGAACTTTGACCAACATTTTACGATCTATATTTTTATCATATTGATATACAAAAAACTGTAATTTATAGTACTTTTCGTATAGTTTATTAGTGTAATCTAATTTAACTTTAAAGATTAGTCAAATTGACTTTCGAAAAGCGCAACATGACAAATAAAAGTGGATTAAGCCAAAATGACTTAAAATAAGTTAAGAAGTGTTTGACAAAGTAAAAGATGACTTAACATAAGTCAAAAATCAAAAGTAGGTCTTCTCCTACTTTTTATTTTTTGACTTAAAAGTCATTTCAATTTGACTTCAAAGTCATTTTCAATTTGACTTTTTATTTTTTAATTAAAAGTTACTCCTCTCGACCACTTTTATTTGTCATGTTGCACTTTTCGAAAGTTAATTTGACTAATTTTTAAAGTTAAGTTGGATTACATTAATTCGATATTTAAACAAAAAATTTAGATATGCAAAATTATATGAAAGTATTATAAATTGCAATTTTTTTGCATATCAATATGATGAAAAAATACATCTTAAAATGTTAGTCAAAGTTCTTATAATTTGACTCTAGAAATAGAAACCATGACAAACAATAGTGGATGGAGGGAATATTTTTTTAAATTAATCCAAACGAGCTCTAAGTATTAAGTCTTGTTCCTACTCAATCTAGGGGTGGACATTCGGTATTTCGGTTCGCTTTCGGTTATTTTTCCGGTTTTTTTGATTTTTGGTTTTTGTAAATTATGTAACGAATACCGAACCGAAATATTTCGGTTCGGTTTGGTTTTTATTAATTCGGTTTGATTTTTTATTTCGGTTTTTAATGGGCCTACTTAGTGGGCTTTTAAAAATTTTAAACTTTACAATTTTTTCAATTTTTTGTTTGATTTTTCAACTTAATGGGCTAAAAAGTAAAAATAGATAATAAATCAAAGAAGTGCATTACTAATTTACTACCAAATTTCAATATATCAATGATTCAAATCTTCAATATGTCAATTTTAAATTCACAATATCACTAAAACACACAATTTGAAATTCACAATGACACTAAAACAAAAGTTGCATTGTAGATTTGTAGTTAATGTCTTCACAAATACAACATAATAACAATCTAACAAGTAACAATAATAAGCAACAATCAATGTATTTTAAACTTCTTGTCTTTTTCCATGAGATTACTTTAAACAATAACAAACAACAATATTGAGTTTCTTGACTTTCTTCCATGAGATCACTTTCAACTTTCAAGTGTCACGTGCCAACAAAATTATTTCTTCATTGTCTTGACCCTTAGACCTTTTAAGATAAAATAAAATATTAGAAACTTAGAATACTACTTTTAAGATTAAAAAATGATATGATTAAATAAATGATGTATTAAACTCACCGCTTGCAAGTCAATCATAGATCAACAATGGAAGAGTTTCTTCCACTATTTGCCATTTCTATAATTAATAAAAGGAAACATGTCATACAAGATACAACACAATAAGTATTTTATTTTTTCCATAAATAAATAAAAAATAAAAAGTCTTACCAAGTTCACTTTTTTCAAGAAACTCCAAACTTTCTTCAACACAAATAGGCTTGGTTTCTTGTCAAAGCCAATCTTTGACACAAATAAGACATTGCACACATTTGGGAGTCAATAAACTTCTAAAGGAATCTAGAATTCGACCACCGGTGCTAAATGCACATTCCGATGCCACACTCGACATAGGAATAGTCAATACATCTCGAGCCAACTGTGAAAGTACTGGAAATCTAGGAGAATTAACTTTCCACCAACTCAAAATATCAAAATCTTCAGATTCAGGTTCTTGGTCTTTAAGAAGATATTTATCCAACTCAGATTTAACACCTAAACTTCCAGAATCATTCTTTTGTTTCTTCATGTGCAACTTAGTTCTCAAAGAATTTTTGGACATATTTTGAGAAATACCACTAGTAGAAGAATTAGATGAGTCAGATGAAGATGGTTGACTTTTGGAACCTTTTTCATACTTATATATATCGCAAACAAATCCCTCAAGTAAGCCTCTACTTTCGTATTCACTACGTTTTCTGTTTCTTCCCCAAGTTATTCTTCAAGAGCAAAACTAACATAGACAAATTTATTGCGAGGATTCAAAACAGAAGCAATAAAAATCATTTTGTTCATTTTTTCAGGAGTCCCCCAATGTTTCTTGAATTTTTCTTTCATTTCCGAAGCCATTTTACTCAAATCAAGGTCATCACTTGCTATACATAATTTCAAATAAGCATCAAGTTTACATATATCTTCAAAATGAACATTACAAGTAACATACCGTGAACCTGAAACTTTCAAAGTGAGTTCATAAAATTTTTCAAGAAACTTTGTGACATTCCTCACATTAGCCCAATCTTCATATTGAATTGACCCTGCGATACTTCCATCTTCACAAACATCAGTAGCAAGAAAAGAATTAAAATTACCATCATAAAGATAAAACCTCTCAAAAGCCTTCTCAAACTTTTCTGCTGTGTCTAACATCAAATAGGTGGAATTCCACCTAATAGGCACATCTAAAGACAACATCTTATCACATTCTATCTTTTGCATTTCAACACATTTCAAGAAATTTCTTGTCCTTGAAAAAGATGATCTAACATATTTCACCATATGTCTCACCTTTTTGATAGAAGGACCAATTTCTTTCAAACCATCTTGCATAATTAGATTAAGTATGTGAGCCATACATCTCACATGGAGATGATTACCTTCCATCAAATTAGTTCCCCACATATCTAATTTTTTGGACAACTCTAAAACTGCCACATCATTTGAAGAGGCATTATCAACCGTAACAGTAAAGACGTTATCCAACTTCCAATCAAGTAAACAATTACTAATAGACTCAAGCCAAATGCTCACCTTTATGACTAGTGATAGGACAAAAATTCAATATTCTTTTATGAAGCACCCAATCCCTATCAATAAAGTGAGCAGTCAAACACATATAATTGATTCTTTGCACTGAAGTCCATGTGTCTGTTGTGAGACAAATTCTTGGTTGTATTTCTCTTAAAGATTGTTTCAAAGTTATTCTCAATTCACCATAAACTTCATAACAATCCCTTGTTATGGTTCTACGAGAAGGAATATGAAACAAAGGCTGGACTTTACTCATAAACTTCTTAAAGCCTTCTTTTTCAACAAAACTAAAAGGTAGTTCATCCAAAATAATCATCTCAACTAAAGCTCTCCTACATACCTCTTGCTCAAATTTCCAAGTCTCTAAATTGTTATTTTGAATATTTAATAATTTTTGAATACCGGGGTGCGACAGTCGGAGGTTTATACACTTTACACCGATAAGTCAAATGTTATTTTAGTCGACTTGTTCCATTTCTTGTTGTATTGGGAGCATAATATTGTTTACAATGTAAGCACTTTGCTTTAACTAATACACCATTTTCAAAAACCTTTTCATAGTGTTGCCAAACAAGAGATCTAGGATCCATTTCTTTTTTTTTGTTATTTCTGTGCCAATCGACAAATCATGCTATTACTAGGTGTATTATCAATAGAATCAGCCATACTTATTCGACTTTGATCAGCTACACCCATATTTATTCTGTTTGTTCAGCCACCTATATATATATATATAAAATCACAATAAATTCCCAATAACCAGTAACAAAAAAATCAGAAAGAAAAAAATGAAAAAAGTCAAGAAAAAAATAAAAAAACTGAAAACATACCTGCACCTGCTGACTGTTGTCGCGGCTGGCGGCTGGCTGCTGCTGTCCTGCTGTCGCGGCTGGCGGCTGCTGCTGGTGGATGGCGGCTGGCGGCGCTACTGCCTCCTGGTGGACGGCGGCACTGCTGCTTCTCTGGTGAACGGCGGCGCTGCTGAAGAGTGGCTGCCGGTTGGAGCCTGGAGTAGAAGAGAAAGAGGAGAAAAGAAGAGGAAGAAGAGTTGAAGAGGAGAGGATGAGGAGTGAGGATTGAGGAGTGAGAAAAAATCTGTAGAAGAAAGAGTCAAAGAGATAGGGTTTGTTACTTTTTTTAAAAAAAAATTATTTAATATTAATAATTATTAATTAATATAATTTAATTTATAAATTATAGTATAATATTTCGGTTTAAATCGAAATACCGAATTTCAAAGTAATATGTATCGAAAACCGAATCGAAATACCAAAAAATACAAAAAATTAAACCAAATATCGAAACGAAAACCGAAATACCAAAACCGAAATTCTGAAAAATTTCTATTCGGTTCGGTGTTTCGGTTTTCCAGTATTTATGCCCACCCCTAACTCAATCTGAATCTTTTAGATTCTATAATGTGGCTTCAAACCTCCAACCTAGTGTTAACTTTATCGCTAGTCTCATTGAATCTATATGATCAACAAATAACATGCACCATGACACCTAATCTTGAATTTATCGTGGCAATATATATATATATATATATATATATATATATATATATATATATCCATCTTCAATGCTAATAAAAACAAGCTAATGATTGATCCTTAATGCAATTTTATAAAAATTGAGAAGTGCTATGAGTCTCCTCTCACAGTTTTTTATCCTGGTCTCAGCTCCATCGCAAATTTCCTTGATTTTCTTAATTAGTATACTCCCTAGGTATACTCCAAATGTCTTCATGGAACCTCTATTGGTTCTTTCTCATATGTCTTTATAAGTCGATGAACATTGTATGTAAATCTCTGTTCTTTTTTATGTACTTTATCAGTCTTCTTACAAGATGAATATATTTTGTAATTTGAGTGTATCAATATGAATCTAAACTGGTTCACAAAAGTATATACAACCGTAATCACCTTTTTTTCACCACCCTCTCCCAAATCTATCACGGTATGACTTAACAACTTAATATTTCTATATAGATGTTGCAATTTGAATGTCATTCTTGTTTTTGTATAATAAAATCATTGTACTCGACCTTCATTCTTTGCACATTTCTATCCTTTTAGAAACAACATTAAACAACATATATATGTAGTTATTCCATAATTGCTCTGCCTTTTCTTTTTTCAAAATTACACATGAATCTTGTATGGTGCAGTTATTATTCTTTTATTACCTCCATGCACGTCATTATTACAACTGGTTAAATAGTATTACTACTTCGTCCATACTTCTCAAAGTATTTAACGTCTTAATACTCCTTCAGTTTTCCTTATATTTTAGTTAACATTTTAAATTATTCTAAAACATAAACATAAACAAAAATTGTGGAATTTTTGGATTCTTTAACTGATTTCGTATTGTCCATAACTTGATAGAAGTATACAAGAACTAAATTTCATCTCTATGGAGGAAAAAAAAAAGAAGAGAAACATGTGCAATGTCGAGACAAATAAAAGAGATCTTTGAAGAATTAGTGACATAACAATTCATGTCTTTATTGGTTACAAATAATTTATCTTAGATTTTAAAAATATTATTTAGCGTAAGAATAAATTAACAAATAAAAAAATATTTGTGGAAATATTAAGAAAAATAATCTTGACCTTTCATATTCATTTTATACACTTCGCCTACCTCTATTGGAAGAGTAATAGAGAAAATAGTAACAGATGGATTCTTTCCGAAAATGATATATAGTATATGTATATTAGCATAATGTTACACATTGATATACATTAAGATGTATACGTATTATTTCAGCAAGAGATGAGTATTACCAACCGAATGTGAATTCCGTACTTAAAGATATTTTATTTCATTTAATAAGCTAATATATCCTACGATGGCGAATTTTCTTATATATTGATTTGGCCTATGGACGAATATACAAACATACGACTGAAGTAATAGCAACATCCTGTATTGGGCCTTGGCCCTGGTCCAACAAGTCATTTTCGGATGAGTTCTTGGGCCGTAATAGCAACTCGAAGAATTCTTTTACATTGGTTTTAAGACTTCATCAACATTTTTATAGTAATTTATTTATTATTAAAATATAACAATATTAATTATAGCAAAGGTAAGAGATTAAACTTCAATCTTTCCTATTCTAGACTCTAATCTTTCTTGTTTTTTCTCTCTTTCTTTCTCATTAAACACACCTAAGATGAGAAAAGTTCCATTAACATTCATTAAAAAGAGATTTAAGGCTTTCAATTCAAAAATTAAATTTTGTAAGAATGTTATTTATTTAAATTGCGTTGGGAATTATCATTTAGAGTTCATATGTTGACTTTGGGGGAGTCTGATGATGAATCGAGTTGATTTTTATTAGAATTTTTATATTTAAACTCGAAGTGCAAGTTGCAGATTTTTCAATGTATAAAGTGATATACACACGACATACAAACACTTTTAGAAACAAAGATTTTTTCTAGTACGAATCAATAATGAAAATTTTTACTATAAAGTATATGTTTTTCATTAATTTCCCATAGAAACTCACTAGAAAAATATAAAATGGAAATAGATAGTAAAATACTTTCATAAGAAAAATAAAATATAATTTCGTTAGTCAAACTTAATAAATAAGTTGCATTCCCTTTTTTAATTGTTTTTATACCATTACTAATATAGCTATTCAACAGCTATGGGGTCACTTCTAATATACCATATCTGACAATTATAGAAAGATTAGTAGGAGTATTATTAATTAATGACACAGATCTACTACTAATTATGCTCATCAGGGGTCACCTACAAGTTGATCCCTTACCTCCAAGTCAAATCCCAAATAGTATCACTAATATAATTAGTAATATCTCAATTATTGACACTTAATTCATGGTTAAATTAATTGCTAAACTAATTCCTTCAACTTTCTACAAGAAAGATACCATGTGATATTTATTACTTTGATTTTCTCAACAAAATGCACTTACCTTATTTTTATTTTCTATATATGCATGAAACATGCAACTATATATATACATGAAGAGCTAGCTATTAGGACCACTTTGTTAATTTAATTAGATTAGATTAGATTAGTGATTATCATTATCCTTAAGCTCAGTTGCATTAATGACACGAATCTACGTACGTATCCCCACTAGCTAGTTGTAGCTATTCAACATCACAGAGGTCGATCTGACTCCCAAATTAAAATGCATGTATCAATTAATCCCTTATCAATAAACTAAAATTAATTACACTAAAGAATGATTAGTGATACCGTTTAAGCATGTTCAACGAACAGAATTAATTCCCTTATTTTTGTTTTTTGCACCTTATTTACCAGTACTGCATGATCCAGGAGGTCAGCTTACACTAATTTTGCGTGAACAGTCATGAATTTATTCGTCATACTTAATTACATGCATCTATATAATTAGACATGCTTCACTACTATATATACTAATACTACCTATACTTTCAAAATATTACTCCCCCCGTTTAAAAAAGAATGTTCATATTTCCTTTTTAGTTTGTTTCAAGAAGAATGATTCTTTTTCTTTTTTGGCAACACTTTAACTTTAACTTTTTCACGTAGCATGTTTAAGACCACAAAATTAAAGGGCATTTCGGTACATTTGACATAACTTTAATTTAGAACCACAAGATTAAAAAGTCTTCTTTCTTTTCTTAAACCTCGTTCCAAGTCAAACTAGGTCAATCTTTTTTAAACGGAGGGAGTACGTATTTTACTAAATACACTTAGATACATGTACTTTTGCTACCAGATATACAAAAATAGGGAGAGAGGTGAGCGAGATTCGTATGTATCGCAGATACATGTTAATCATTACTAGATACATGTATATGTATATGTCAGGTGTGATTCACATGTATATGGGATATAAGATACATGAGAGAGTGGCGAGCGAGAACGGAGAGAATCGGACGAGATTTGTTTGGTAATATCTCAAATACATGTGAATCTACTTCGAAACAATGTATCTCGAACAAGTTGCACTTAATTTTGACTTAATGTATCTGAACACAGTAAAATCTGGTAAGATGCGTAATATTGCAAAGTAAAGTGCATAAGTAATTAGCTCCTAAACTAAAGAAAATTAAGTAAGACTTTTTCTCTCTATATATACATGGTATAAATTAGTAGAGATTGAGTATCATTGCATAGAATTGCTTAAGTCGCCAAGAACGATATTTACATAGAGCATTGAATATAGATATTTATATTTATTATTACTGCTAAATATGATATAGTAACAATTATATTATTATCATTAAATTTTTTGTTTGTTATAGTGAAAGCGACTTTGCCCTTTTATTTTCGAGAATCATCCCTTAATAAGTAATATATGAGAAGCTTTGTTGGACTTTTGTGATGGTATCTTACTTTTTTCTTTTTAAACTTTCCAAGTGACTACTATTATTTTCATGGAAACTACCTTGAAGGTTCTTTTAGCTATAAATGCCAAGCTTTCTCCCAGTCCCAGCAACAGTAAAACAAGAAATTTCCACCAAATGTTCCCTTTTTAGAATATTTGTTGAATTATATTATTATTTTTAATTTCTCTTGATTATTATTTTTAATTTCGCTTTCAATTTATAGATGCTTTAGACCATAGTCTAAAATTTCATTTTGCATAGACTAACAAACTTTACACATTATATCTGAACTAAATTTTATCCAATGTTAGATGATAATTTAATATATTGTTTGAAAATTTGAGAAATATAACAACAAATATCAAAAACAAATATAACCAGGGGCATAGCTACGTGCTCAATTGGATACGTTTTGTCAGAAAATTATACCGTATATATAATTATAATAATATACAAAATGGTTAAATTTGGACAGCTTTAACACAAGATGTTTTAGCCTAGTTATCTAAGATGCCTTGAAAGTTAATCCTTTTAAGTGTTTATGAGTTCAAATCTTGCTAACAAGTAACAACAGCTTTAAGCCTCCTTTTTTATCAAAAAATTTTCTCTTTTTTCAAATTTTTTCATATATATAGGTACTTTTTTTCAAAAATTTCACGTATATTATGTAGTTAATTTTTTAAAATTTTTAGTGCACCTGTCAACGTTTCTCTCTTTTTCAAAATTTTTTCATATATATTTAATAGTTTAATTTTTAAATTACTCACTCATCCAAATGAAAAAGTGTACTCGTATTTAATTCTTGAACACCCTTTTGAAAA